AGCAATCTCACGGTTTTTTTCAAGTCTTACGGATATTTTAAAAACCTCATTTTCAAATTTATCTAACATGTCAGAGCCTATAGGATGATTTAAAACACAATAAATAACATCAAACATCCATCTTCCAACCTGTTCTGCCGCTAGAAATAAGTTACGTTTTTCTTTCCTTCAGCAGGCGCTTTTCTTAGATGTTTATTATTCACTGTGACTGTGTGTTTAATTGGTTGTGACTGTACAGCACTTTGGTCCTATGGTTGTTTAAGTGCTTTACAAATAAAGTTGGTATGGTATGGTATGGTATGGTATGGTATGGTATGGTATGGTATGGTAAATAAATTATGTGGCCTTTTACCCTATTATAGTCTGAATTTTACTCCATTTTGTGAGCTAAGTAATTTTTTTACAGGAATGGTGTTTGCCATTTAGCACTTGCTACTTTTTGGCAGCTAAAATTTTACATTTTGTTACTATATAGTTTAAAGAATTAAAAGTAAACCACCTGGAGCTGTACTGTGGCTGTTAGTGGTTATATGTATCCTTAACCACAAAGGAGAGGTGTGATTTAATGAGAAAGAATGATACATCTCTCAAAATACTTCTGAAAAATGTCTCCCCCTCACTTCTGAGATGACGGTTACTCTTGTTCAGACTGTATGCAGACTGTTGCATGTACAATCCACTAGCAGTAAATATTGTGCTACTACCAGTTTTGGACCAAAGGAAGCAGGACTGTTGCAATTAAGATAGTTTTGTTAGTTGGAGGCAGGTTCAGATATGAACATTGAAGTAAACAAGCATATCAGATAACTATTTAATCAGAACAGCAACTTCAGAATCGCCATGTCAGAAGTAGCATCCATGTTTAGCTACTTCTGTAATTACCATGTGACCTCACATCTTTATCTGTGCATGTGGATCACATCAGGGCTGTGGAGAGTTCACACTGGAGTCTGATGGAAGTTGCATTTAAAATGTAATGTGAACATTCATGCCAAAAAATCTGATTTT